ATCTTGTACCCTATTTTCACCCTACCCCTGTAATCAATAAAGTTCTCCTTTGTGACTGGTGTAGGAGAGTTATTGAGGGGTGGGTCTAAATTATGCCTAAGAGGCCCTTAGGTCTGCGGACTAAGGGAGACTTGCCTTTTTGGCCCCTGACTTGGGGAAGTACCCCAAGTGCCTGTACTGGGTCAAATACCCGTAGGACTATTAGGCCTGTGTTTCCCTGAGGACACGGCCGAGAGAGTCCCCTCTCAGGGTGGTGACAGCTTACATTACCCCCAGGCTAGCGAGTGTGCTCCAGGAAGGGGGGCAGCCGGACGCAAGGCACCCCTACGGAGGCACTCAGAGCCTGGAAGGTGGTCGGGCACAGGGAGGTGGGTGGCTCAACGCAGGAGTGCCCCCTACTGGCCCGCCACACAGCCACTCTAAAATGGAGCCAGAAATGCTACGGACTGCCTGAACCCTGGCTGCTCAACTAGGCAGAAGGGCTGGCTATCCAGAGCAAGCATCTCCCCAATGCTCTGGGTGATCTTGCTCGCCTTGGGAATGCACCCCCCCTTTCTGTCCACCTTTTCCCCACTGGTCCAGGGTAGCCTGCCTCTGCTTTGGGGGTAAGGGGGATTTGGAGCAAGCAGGGGCCTTCCCTTTCGGCACACTCGTGCTGGTGCCAGGCTGAGAAGCAGGAAGAAAGGCAAAGGAGTGGTGCCTCCTCAGATGCAGCAGCATCACCATGGTGGAGAAGTGTCTCGCATCCTTGCCACAGCTCATGTGCCTTTGGCAGTGGTGGCAGATGGCAAACCAGGGATCATCTGCCACCTCAAAATGATTCCACACTACACTACTCCCCCTGCTTCTGGGTTGAGAGTGAGGATCCTGTCTTTTCCCCCTTCTCAGCAGGCTGAGGCTGAACAGCAGGAGGAGCTGCCTCAACTGAGCCACTTGCCTCCACAACCTTAGCCTTCTCCGAGGTGCTGCTTTCCAAAGAAGACCTGAGTCTAGGGGAAACTTGAGGGGTGTGGAGCAAAAGCTCTGATTCCCCCTCAGTCTTCAGAATTGCTTGAGCCAGTATGTTCAGCATCCCTGGTTCCAGCTCTAGCTCCTCCTCTGGCAGTGGGAGGCTCATGCTGAGAGATGACATTGGGGGTGGAGGAGGCAGTGATTCCACTGCTGGTCCCACTTTTGGACTAAGCGGAGGTGGTGCAGGTACAGGAACGTCAGGTACAGACACTGCTCCCACCTCCTTCAGGGATGATGCTCAAGGGCAACCAGCATGGTTTCATTAGGGGCAGGTCAAGTCAGACCAACCTGATTGCCTTTTATGATCAGGTCACAAAGGCAATGGATGCAGGTGTCGCCGTGGA